TGTTTTTCTGACAGGACTTCTCAAGATCAAATTCAAACGCAAGAAACACCAAGTACTGGAAGCATTAGCAGAGTGGTATGGCTTTAGTTGTTTTGTACCGTTGGCCTGCCTGCGTGGTGAAACTCTTCAGTACTAATGGGCCACTAATGGGGAATCACAGACTCTGGCCCTGTGGGATGTAGCCAGACCACAAGCTGAAGCTGGTTTAGCTGTGGATTGCCAGCAGAAAACTCCCCCATGCCTTCCTTTCCTCTGTTTCCTATTCTGTGTCTTCTCAGGGGGTTGCAGAGCCAACTGCATGGAGTGGGTGGGTAGAGAGGGGGCTCCTACAGGATTAGTTTCCAGCCTGGTCTGTGAGAGCTGTTCCAGCTCATCACACTGCTCTACATTGGCAACTCACGTGGGGGAGTGGTAAAAGGGTGCAGATAAGGAAACAAAACACGCAACAGAACCTACCCACAGCAGCTTCTTGTTCAATCAGATTAAGACAGGAGTCAGCTCCCAGGGTTGTATGGTTGTTTCTTCCTGCTGTGGGTACAGCAGAGTGCTGCATCTCCAGACAAGCCTTCATCCCAATGCCTACCTGTACACTCAAGTGGTTGTTAAAGCCGGGGCTGACGAAGCTTTCAGAGCCAGTATGCATAGCCCATGGGGCATTGCCATCTCCAGCTTGGTGGATCTCCATGGAGCCAGGAGTCTTCCCAGGCAGACTGGCCCAGGCCCAGGGCATGGAGACATATGGTTGGTCTGTGGATCTGGGGCAGGATGCCAGGGATGCAGGCAGCACTCCAGCTGAACCCTAGCTTGAGCCCTGCAACTGCCTTGTTTCAAGCAGAGCATTTTGGCCTCATCATGTGGGCATTCTTCCACCTGCATTTGGTTACACAGGAGTTATTTCCAAGCAGCTCATTGTCACAAGTCTTCAGTTTCGAGCAGGGACAAAAAAGAAACAAGAAGTTACCTTCCAAGTTATTTGAGGCAGCTTTAGGTTATGGCTTTCCTCAAGGAGCTGGTCTCCTATAGATGTTCTTCCAACTAAATTTCGTTTAACTGCCTTTAAAGCTGCCGGATGTGATAATGGTGGGTTCTGCTCTGTGACAGCAAAGTTGAACATGCAAACAGGAGAAAAAAGGAAGTGTTCAACGGGAACTCCACTGGAGTTACCACCGGTGAACTGAAAAACCTGTGAAATGGCTTTAGTTGTGCTTGAAATTTCCCAATGGCTTGCAAAATTATACTGGACATACAATATTCGAGAATGAAGCCCTGCTCATCTGCCAAGGAACAGCTATAAATGCAGTTCATCCCCAAAGAGGGAGGGAGCAAACCCAAGAGGGAAAACAAGAGTGCCCTGGGAAGGGTTACTGCAAAAACTTTGTTACCCTTTCTCCTCAATGATAACTGTATCCACTTGTAGCTGTCACAAGTAGGGTCTTGCTTATACTCTTGCAACAGTTTGCACTGTGCTTAACTGTTTCTTTGTGGCTGCAGCAGATAATGTAATAGCTCCCTACATAACAGCTGGAACAGCTCCAGCTATTCAGAGAGCAGAACTGGAAGAGCTGCTAACAAAGGAGGTCTATGCAAAACCCAGCATTATTCCAGCGGATTCAGCTCCCTGGGCTCTGCCTTCCTCCTCCTCCCCCTCTTCCTCTTCGCTTTCCGTTTACAACTTCCTTTGCCTGTATCTGTTCCTGAGGTTGCCCGGCCTGCGTCCTCACCTGACCTTCTGACTGCCCCCTGGTTCTTCTCCTCTCCTTTTGCCCTTTGATTTCTTCCTGTGGCTTTTGAACACCAAGGACAGTCTGGTAAACATAAGGGTGGTTTATTTGTTTGGGGTGTTTGTGTGCATGTGTATGCTGGCAGGTAAGCACTATGGTTTATGCTAGTTTATGTCAAGGCTGTAGTGAACTCTGATTTCATACCGGTCTGTTCTTCCCACCCTCAAGATCTCTTCTTCCTTTATTCCTATCGACTCTGCTTTTCTCTTCCTGTTTGCTCTCACAGGAAATATATCTGTTCCAGTGCTTTTGCTTCCCTGCTGGCTTCCTCTGCAATCGTAGCTACCTTCAGCCCCTTTACATCACAGAAACAGCCTCATCCAAGTTCCCCTGACTTTTCCCATCTTGCAGCCTTCCTGTTTCTTTTCTGGGATTGTTTCTCTGCATGGGCATGTCCAATTGTTTCCTTATGTTCACCAGCTTTTGTTCTCCAAGTCTGGTCTCCATGGGAGTGATCACAGCTACCATGTCCTTAACCCTGCCTTTCTTCACTCTGCATACTGGTACTGCTGCAGATGCCGGCAGCTCCCAGTTCTGCTTTCAGCTCTCTCCAAGGCAAGGGCACTAGGTATGTGGGCTGGCCACTGACAGCAATGCCCTGGCTGTCCTGGTAAGCACAACGTGAAACAGCCCCTCAAAATAGCAATTGTCGGTTGAAAACTATGACTCATTTTGACACTTTTTGGCTGTTTTAACTACATAAACCATTTGTAGTGACTCAGTGTGAAAACTTGCCTGCACAGCTTGCAAAAGGCGAGGTCAGTGTTAGAATTAGCACTGCACACTTCTTCTAGGGAGGTGGTCCTGAATGAAAGGGGACCCTGAGCCCTGGCAGCTGTCTTCCCACGCAGGGTGAAAAGCACCAAGGAGTGACTTCTAGTACTAACCTGATCAGCCACCAGAAACAGATGCCTTTTGTTTTCAAATGGCCAGTAAGATCAGATCAGCACTGGCACCATTGTCTGTGTTTTCACCCAGTGGAAGGCTGTGGCCTGGTGTAAACAATTATGGCACTGAGTAAAGCATAATCGATCACAGAAGAGCCACAAAGGATACATTTGCCAAAGCATGGTTTAAAGATCAGGATCTGTGTAATGGAGCTAGCACACTTAAGACAGTGAAAAGGAGGCATCAGCATTCTGTGGGGTGAAATATAAAATGGAGAGTCATAAAAAGACTTTCACAGTCCTTTATGGTTGTTGCATTTTCTGCATCACAGCAAAGCTCTATCTTCCGCTTGCCAGAAGGTCCCTCACTCTGATAAACTGGTATTTGTATTCTCAGTAACTAAAAACTAAATGCCTTGCTTCTTCCCAGATGCAGACTAGTTTACTGTTGTGCAGTGAGAGAGCTTCCTGTATGATGTGGGTCCTGGTCATTGCTATAGTCTCAAAGCTTTAGGTTGGGGTCACTCTGCTAAAATCAGGAATGGCAAAGGTGGGTGTTCACCCCACAATATGTGGCCACAGGATAAACAGCTGGGTCCTACAGGCAATATTGTAACCTTCTAAAGGCTACATCCTGTGGCAGTATCTTCTCTCATTTCTCCTTTTCTGCCACCCCTGAACAGAACATCCTTTCTTTTGCTGTTGTGTTTTACAAATGAAAGGTTCCCTCCTCCTAGCCAAACCTTATGCTGATAAAGGTCAAGTTAAGCTGCTCTGAAACCTGGGTATCAGCACAGCTCTTCAAGATGCAGATAAGAACGAAGTTCCTTTGCAGAAGTAGGTGATTGAAATATAAGGAGTTTGGAAAACTGCAACACAAAGACATTTCTCCTCTAGACAAAAAGATAAGCAGATCCATCCAGAGTTCTGAGGCTTTAGGCATAAAGGTTACAGTGTATGAAGAGTGGTGAAGATCCACAAAAACCCAAGCGAAGTAGCAAAACTAATCAATCCTGACTCACAAGAACATTGAGCCTGACCCTCAAAACAAACCCAAGAGATCAAGTCCACCAAGAGAAGACCTGAATCTGTGAGCAGTTTGTGTATTTTCTGACCTTTGTTTGATTCATTCTGGGCACAGATGTTACCACCTGGTTTCATCACCAGTTTTTCCTCCCCCAGATTAGAGCAATCAGTGAGATCAGCTACTTTTAGCAGAAGGGTGACAAGCACCATGGTGTTTGGCTGCCTTCTGTATGTAACTGTAATAGTGAATTCAGTCTTCTCGGCCTTCTACAGTCTCCTACAGTGCTTTCTTAAACACCCTGTAGAGAAACTATGGTTTGTATGACAAGTCAGGTGGGGCCAGCTTCCTGCTTCTGATCTCCCACACTAATTGATGTCAGCAGGCCTCCCTCCCAGCAGCGGCTGCTTACACATGGCACTCTACAGAGACACAGCAGGGAGCTTCCACCCAGGTTAGCAGCAGCTCAGACAGACTGACTGCATCAGTTATATTCAGATCGTGTTGTCAAGCTTTCAAGTGTTTGGAAGGAAACATCATCACACAGGAGTATGCTGTGTACCAGAGAGGGAAGAAGATTAACAAAAAGCAGCGAAGGGAATACAACCAAGAGAAGGCATGTTTTCCATATTTAGGCAAAGATAATATAGAAGAGATCTGTTTAAAGGAAGCTGTTTGATTCTATCTATTTGAATTGTCTATCAATCCTCTTCACAAGTGAACAAAAATCTGACTTTCAATTGTTTAATCTTCTCTACACAGTTACCTGCAATTCTGTTTTTCAGTAGAGGTCTCACATATCCAAACCCAGTATTAAGTACATTCTTACTCAAACAGAAATGTTAAAGCACTGTGCTTACATTTAAAGTACCTACAACAAAAAACCTCTCTAAACCTGATGCACCTGAGCACACCTTTCTACCCCAGGAACAAAGTCTTCTCAGAACAAATTGCTTTTCTTCCTTATTGACAGTATGATACAGCTGAAACTGATGAAAATCTTTGAGCATGTTTTACTTGAGCATATAATATGGGCACTCTATAGAAGGCTGTAATGAAATGGCTGCTAGACAGATTAGTACAAAATCAATGAGTGACACAAGATCACTGAGTTTTCACTGGTTTTACTGTTGTTTGACAGTTTGACAAACGCTAGTTTGTCAAAATAGCAAAATAGCAATTGTCAAACGCTATAGCAATATAGCAATAGCAATTGACAAACACTAGTTTGTCAAACCCTGCAGAAATCCCTCCTGCCATCGTACTATGAACTTGTGCACTTCCCGTAACAAAGGAAGCAGCGATCGACAGATGCTGTCAAACGCTTGATACCTTCGGCACCACTTCTTTAGCGCTAGCTTCTGGACAAAATCCACAAACAGCCTGTGTCCCTTGGCCTGACTGCTGGCCTCTAGTCTTTCCCAAATGGATCCTCTGAAAGGAGGTAGAATGCTCATGGACCAGAAACACTGCCTAGAGTACACATTTTTCATTGTTCATGTTACTGCTGAGTAACACCAAGATGTCATTTGTAGTACTTTCCTTTGAAAGCCACAGAAACAGGAAAATGTTTTAAATGAACAATTGGAATTAGTGAGTCATCAAGAGGAGCAGCATTTGAAAGAATTATTTTGTATTTCTGACCTTAAAGCATTCATCTTGGTTGCTTTCTACAACAGGTAGCTAAGACATGTGAGTGACAAGCATATCTCAGCCACTTCTGGGATGGAGTACAGACACAGCCACTCGTAATTACTTAAGACCAGGAATGAAAAAGAACACAGTGAAACTACCCAGGAAGTGAAGGACTGGCATTTCTCAAATTGTTATTTACTCTTTAAGTAAAAACCTTTCAACCCTGCGGATACCAGTGCTCCCTGGGAATAACTGCTTGCAAAATGGTAAGGCTGTTACTAGGAGGCTGAAAGACAGACATTTCCAGCAACACCAAGCCCTGGAGCAACAGCGAAGTATTAGGTAATACCTGAGAAAGCCCTGGTAATGGTGTTTGCTGAAGAGAGAAATACACTGAGAGAAAGAAGTAGCAGACAGAAAGCACTTTTGCAATCTCAGAGCCTCCTGTGGAAATTCCCCACCTATGAATAGTATTCATGCAGAAAAGCCAGTGTTCATACCCTGTGTTTACTTAAGCTCACAGGTACTAATCTCACCGGCCAGGCTTTTCCCAAGCTTTATTTCACTCCTTTGTCAGAAGCCACCCAACCATTTCCCTGAAACGTTAATACATCAACGAGAAAGTGGAAAGCAGTCCCCCTGCGGAACTGGGACAGGGCCTTCAAAGGCATGTTGCGATGCTGAAGTCAACTGCTAGTTTCGACCAAGTGACAGGCAGGAGCGTGCCCACCTCATGTGCGCATGCACGTGCAGCTGCCTTGTGAAGGCACACTGCAGCATTGACATTCAGGCAGCAGGCTGAGAGCCAGCGTGGAAAGAAACAGCATCACACTAATTTCTTCCTTTTTTAATTAACATTTGTCAGACTTGGAGAGAAGCCCAGACCGCAAAAATTTGGACACAAAATTCTAAGAGCTCAGAAGCTGGAAATGTTCACATACAGGCTCTTCATTTATGCCGAGTCTTTTTTTATAGGTCATGCAGAGATGACTTAATTGCTCTTACTGTAACTTACAATTAGCAGTACAGTGATTTGTTTTGCATGTCGTGGTGCACAGTAGAGCTATGCTCCAATGAAAGTGACAATGTTTGATAGTAGGTGGGCATTTGTTTTCATGAAGGAATTTTCCCTGCAGTTCCTCTCTTGCGGGTGGGGGAAGAAGAAAGCCTTTATTGCCATCAGCAGCAAAGAGTGAGGATATTGTGACCCAATCCAGGAGTTGTTTGTAACGGTTGGTGGTTTCTCAAATTGATGTGAACTTCTAGTTCACCTTCCTGCGCAGCACTTATCGATGCAAGCTCAAATGATTACTTGTGCCATTACCAAAATACTGAATTCCTGACATACGACTGAAAGCCACTATTAAACTCTTGCAATTTCAATGCTAAGTCACTAACTTTTCTCTATACAAGAACTGGATAAAGAGGTAAAAATACAGCAGTTAATTTGCACTTTTTACCAGCACAGCACATAATATTCAGCAAATCATACCGTCTGCTGACATTAGAAGAGAATGGGGACTGGAATATTACATTTATTAAAGTTAGATAGTAATGCACATAACATCATTTTCAAACATTCTAAATGGCCTGTAAACAGCACCTCTGATAGGGTTCCAAGCACTAAGGCTGCTTCCAGTTCCTAGCAGGGCACTTGCATCCTTTACATCCTAGCCTAGAGATAAGGTAGTCCAGGGAAATAAGACATTGAGTTGTATTATGAGGTTTAGAGGCATTTCAGAGCTGCAGAAACCCTAACAAGTAATAACGTTGCTAGTGTTCCTTTCCTGCAGCTTTGAGGAGCACATGCAGGAGAGTGAGCTGCTTACTGATGAGCCTTCCTCAGCCACATGTTTCCGAGAGCCAAGTCTCCGCTCTCCCTGGGGCCACATAAGAGACTGAACTATTGCAGTCCTCACGGCAAGGACAAACCCCATGGCTTCTCTGACTAGATTCAAAACATGAAACTCCTCGTCCCTTCTGTGCTACTTCTGGCTCTGTCTACAGCCAGCTTCTGTTGATGACGTGTAGCAGTCACACCATGCCTCCATGCTGATGTATTTCAGAGGACTGAAAACGTTAAAAGAGACCTTGGAAGGGGACAGCTGTATATAAAAGTTAACTCTGCAAATAGCCCTATCTGTCCCAAATATTGCTCAGAAGAAGAGAGACTGTTCTATAGCACAGCACAGCTCCACATGCCTCCCTACTAACGTAAGGACACCTTTGTTTTGTTGGTTTTCAGTTCTGACATTGCGTTAGATAATGAGGATGGATGAAAGACGTGAATCAAGTGATTTAATTTTAATGTGGCTTCTGCTTCCTGCGCTGATCTAGCAGTGGAATAATTACACAGATCATTGCTTTTTCAGAACAGCCTTTTAGGCTTCTTGTGAGAGACCTCATTACTCTCCTCATGCTTTTAAGGAAGATGGTGTGGCCATTTGCTGGGTCAGTAAGGCTCCTTTCAGAGCAGGGCCAAGTAGTTTCACTGTCCAAATAGGCAAATACCATTCTTTGCCAGATAACAATTAAGGGCCACGTATCACTCTTGAGACAATAACAGAAGTGTCCTGCTTAGATTAATGCAGTTTCAGACAGTACTGTGAAAAATCATGTTGATTAATTACATATAATTGGCACACTATTTTAGAATTACTTTGGCATAAAGGAGGACAGCTTTTCTTCTGGAGATTTGTCTACCCCATTAGAGGGATTTTGGCCACGCTTGTCTCAACAGATTCACTTCTAATAGAATAAAAGGCTCAATTCATAAGAGAAGGTTTCTGATTAATTGTTTGTTATATTAGCACGAAGGAGTAGGTTTTGGGAGCGAGTATTTACATAAACAGCATTTATACAGCACAACATCTGCAACCAAAAGCACGAGCGAGCTGCTTTGCAGGCAGTGCAGAAGGGGATTGCTTTATCTTAGGTTGAAGTAAACCCACTGTTAAAGTAAATATGCAATAGCAACACCACTTAACAAAGGGAACATGAATAATAACTTTTCTAATTTAAGCTGAATGTGGGAGGATATAGGTAGGCAGCAAAATAAGTTGAAAACCTATTTCCACTGTGATTCATAGAGATTTGCAGCAGTGGCTTGCATAGGTAAATTATAACAGTTGACATTCACATATAGTTTTTCACTTATTAAAATCTGATGGGCTTTTTTCTTTTGGCAATTGAAGTACTGATGCACAGCAAAGTTAAGAAACTGGCTCGTGGTACCAACTGTGTCAAGTGTTTTGGCTTTTAGACACAGAACTGCTCCACTGACTCTGCAAGATACCACTCACCTTTAGTGAGAGAAGTTATTTGTAAAGGGAGTGGAATTGCCTACAGAAGGAGGGGAGGATTTTAACATCACTGGAATTGTACCAGTATTGTCTGTGACTTATGAACAATGGCAACCAGAAAGATGTACTAGTAACTGAATAAGGTTATTTCTTTGTTCCGCGGTCCTTCATTACCAATAATGTCTAGAATCACTCGCTACCTACACATTTACCAAGACAAAGGGAGCTCCCTGCTGCCGTTCCATTTCCAGCCCCTTCCTCCTACTTCTCATTCCATATTACACAACCAGATTTGGCAACATTTTTCCTTAACAGAGATGAAAATTGGGTGTTCTGACTCAAGAACAGAAAACAAGAATAATCCAAGAATGTCCACGGAGCTCTACTACATACTATAAATGAAAGCTCATATGAAGTGATCCTGAGACATGGGTAAAAACTATAAAGCCAGCAGTAATTTTCAGACAGTGCTTTCCACAGTCTTTGGTCTTACATAGATTGTGTTATCATTGGTTCTGCTAGAGACAGTGTAAAAGTAAAACCATCCATACCAATCTGCCTAGGGAACAACTCACAAAAACCAAGTGAGGAAATACAGTAGTTGTCCATTCCCACATTTGTGTAGGGCTGCCCTAGGAGCTTGCCAGTATCATCCAAACATTAGTTTCTTGCTTAATTCATAAACTTACTTCAATTCAAAGCAACAATTTACTTGTATTTGCAACTGATATCAATTTTGACCTAGCCTTTTAGACAGGGGAATGCTGTATTGTTTCAATATCATCAACTAAATACTTGATACTGAATGCATGTAAATGACAGTAATAGACACTCAAAATTCCTTTCAAGTCCTTTGCAAGCAATTTTCTTTCAGCACTGTAGAGTATCAAGATTACAGGCTGTCAGTATCATTCTATAGACTTTCACACTACATAACATTCTCCAGTGAAGTAGAGAGGTTCATTAATAAGAATTTATTAGCATATTCAGAAGGGATCTGCAGTAAATCTTTACAGCACAAAGCTACAAATGGTTTCATGTTCAGTCCAAAGTGTGCGTGTTGCTTCTTAAAAGGGCATGGCAAGCATCTTGTGAAAAATAAGAAAGAAAGCTTTCCTCCCCCAACAAAAAGGAAACTTCTGAATTATCAAACAGTAGAAAAACTGTATTTCGGGCAAACCACATCAGCTCCAAACAATTTTAATAGGCACCTACTGTGGCTTCAGGAATCATCGCTGCATGCATATCTCTAGCCATATTGGATTTCTCTTTCAGCTTTGACTGGAGTAATGTGTGTTCCATCACACCAATTTGTATGTTCATATGAATGGTTTCTTGCTTCAGTTTTGTTAAGGCCTGTTTAATCTTCACTAGAGGAGCTGTTGAAGAAGAAATACATATACATAAACAGGGCAGTTCTGTCAGCTACTTCACACAAAAGCATTATTTTCTACAATTTACACCTTCAAATTGAAGAGCTGAAGGAACAAAAGGGCATTCTACTCCAAAGACATGGTTGCACTGATACGTCATTTTTTATAAGCAAGACACTTTAAAGGTAGAAATAGGCAATGGCAATTTTGCTGTCTTCTTGACATCTAAGATCTGCATAAAGGTGTGCATCAACATTGAGACAGGTTTGTCAATGATGTGTTTTGCTCAGCTGAAAGCTTCATGCTGATACCTGACTTGGGGTTTCATAGAGAACTGAAGTCACATTCACAACTTACCTGTGATAAGCTATTAAACTGGGTTGTGCTCCATACTTTGTTTCTCATCCCTCACTTCCCACTAATATCACCAGAGGGATGCTGCTGCTGCATCATAGTGCTCCTTAGATGTTATCCTGACCCCTTGGCCATGCCATAATATAGAAAAGGTATTGTGAGGCAGGCAAGCA